CTCTCTCTCTCTCTCTCTCTCTCTCTCTCTCTCTCTCTCTCTCTCTCTCTCTCTCGGTCTTCTTCTTCGTCGTGGTCTCTTTTGCAGGTGCGCGGCGGCTTCTCCAACCTCCCGGTCCGCTATGGCGGACTTCTTCTCGTGGCGGCCACCTCAGCTATGGCGCATCTCTCCCTGCACACGACGGCGCACATGGAATAGCGGGTACCAGCTCCGATACCAATGCAATCAGACTCGCTTTCATTCACACTTTACATTTATGCAAACAGTAGCGCAGCAAACTGGCGACATGCGCCCACTCAAAACTCAGAGATATGGCAATCCAGATACGAGTTCACTTTCAATGGCTATGGCGGCTCAGCGCCCAAACAACTCTCTGTTCGCATACACCGGATCACCCTGGATATCCCACACGCGACTCTCGGAACACTCACACACACACACGCACACTGAACCTCAACCACAGCTATGGCGGCTATGTCCGCCTCTACCCTATCGCTATGCTACGCTCCTTCTCTCTCGCCCACTTCGGCTCTGGGCTCACTGCAGACCTCCTTGCACAAGTCGCTGTGGCAGCGCTTCCGCATGGCTCACACAGGAATGAATGAATGGCTGGGCGCTGCTTCTTGATTTATACTTCTGAAACTCGTTGGTCTGCCCTTTTCCATCGGCCCTTGGTGCTCACTGTCCCTCGTGGTACTTGCTGGACCGGACTGGGACTGACTGGACCTTACCGCTGACTGAATGGGGACTCACTGCTATCCTACTGCTACCGTACTGCGAACGTACTGCAGCTGGTCCACCACTTGACTCACCACTTGCCCACTTGCCGACCTTCTAGAAGGCTACAGCTAAGACTTCTAGACTTCACTAAGACTTCTATTCGACAGACCTAGAGATCGAACCCCTACAACCTACCACAGCCTATCAACTGCTACAAATGCACAGGTCGTGGGTTCAACTCTATGGGTCGACACAGGTATTGTACACAGGTAAGGTGGGGACTAGGGATCAAGCCCTGGGATCTGCGTCTGCTACTGCAAAAAGGTGAAAACCATTTCACTCCACGCACGAGTTTGTTGCCCACGTGTGATTTTGTTGCCCTTTTCGAACTCGTCTGTGCCACAACCCAACTTACCCCAAATAGAAAACAATAGACACCAAACAACTACAAATCGGAGGGGGGCACAGGTTGTGTTCATCCGTATACTCTCTGTATGTGTTGGATGCGACGCTGGACCCAGTTTCCAGCGGGTGCCCTTGTGCTGCTCCCCACCGATCAGAACAGAGCCATCTCCTCCTGCATTTCCCCAGACTGAGTCTGTTGTAAGCATCAGTCACAGTGAGCAAACACACAAGTGTTCGAATCACACAAAAGGGCAGTATACACGAAGCACACCACACATGAGAAAGACATGAGTAGAACCGAGAGCAGGTACTGCGTCAGCAGATAATCATGGCAAAACAGACGCAACTCAGACTGAGTCTGGATGGTTCCCTCCCGACCACCTAGATAGATGACCTGCCCAGCAACGTTGCACCTTATTAATTTATTAATATATATATATATATTCTCCCTCTCTGCCTACGGTTTACCGGGTAGCTCTGTTTGACTATATATAAGTGTTAAAATTGGAATGAGACAGAGACAATCAGCATGGGTACTGCACAGACAAGGATGACACACATAAATTGAGAATTGCGGGCACTACCCTTCTCCCGATCTGCTTAGGTTTTTGGATGGATGCCTTTTTTTTTTTTTTTTTGAAGGGGGTAAGTTAAACCCCCTAAACTTTTCGTATCCACCTGATTCCATCAGGACTCGAACTCATCACCGGTTTATCAACAGTTAATACATGTGTGTACCATGCAGCCAACTGGGCTGGGTATTTAGATGGATGCCTTTTCTATCTGGATGGTGGAAGGATGTGGTCCGTGCAGCCCTGAGGAGGGCTAAAGGTGGTGATAAGAGCAATCACCGCTAGCACCCCAAGGGAGGCTCCATCTATCAGTGGGGAGCATCACCTGCTGGGAAAGCGGTCCAGCGTCCCATATACCGCAAAAGTCGGTCCCAGCTTCTTCTCTCTAAGGAGTGCCATTCTCACTAATCTAATCATTTGGAATTCACGTTGACATTTTCAAAAAATATTGAGAAACGTCGGGCATTATGACATGCGATCCTCAACTCCGCCGAGCTTAGCACACCGTCACTTCTTAGCAAGCAACTAGTTAGCTGACGCTGAAGATGATTTGAGTTTTGAAAAGTCAAGTCTTTGAAAACAGCAGCAGGGCGTTCACTAAATTATGCGATTTACAGGGTGTGGTGGCAATGAAGAGCCATCAAGAGAACGCAGATGTAATGTACCTTGTGTCTATTCCGAACTCTTCAATGGATGTTTTACTTGCAATAGTTTATTTTATAGTATTTAGAGTAATTTTATAGTATTTATACTTATATAAATTTGATTTGATCAAGAGATTGAAGACTGATATTCCGTACAATAACGCATGGGAACCTTCTTTTTCCTGCTACCTTAGAAAAGCACAGGAAACGCTGGCTACCGTAGCATTGCACAACACAACGGGCCTCACTCCACTACTCTCGACATGCACAAAAGACAAAAATCATGGCGGTGTATCTTTCCATGTTCTAGCGGAAGATTCACTCTCGTTTCGCACATGTCGACGGTTGTGGAGCGAGGCCCAATACCAGCTAAGTGAATCTGCACATCTAGCTCCCCCACAGCTGAGGTTACAGGATCGCGCTACCCATCCCGTGAAGTAGTAGAAGCCGATAAACCACACAGCTGTGAGCACTTCAATTTGGTTAACCCCCCAGTAACCCCCCAGTACTTTCAGACCTCTTTTTACTGATGCGAATTTGTGTTGTGCTGCTTGTGCACCAATAGAAAGATTTGTGCTGTGGGCCAATAGAAAAAAGAACCGCGCAGGTGTTTTTTTTTTTTTTTTTTTTTTTTTCTGTAAATGGGCCTTTACCCGAAATAGGCCTCAGGCCTTATAAAAGCAACGCAGCACAGACCTTGTAAAAGTAAAGCATTGTGAAAAGGTATCTCGCCAGGGCTCAGAAACGTGAAAGCAGGTCAAAAGTCAAGTTCTYTATCAACAGGCACATCTAAATCTAAGGTAAAGGGCATTGTCAAAAGACTTACCTGTTCACCAGGAGATGTGTATGTCATGTCTGTTCGGGTAAGAGTGTGTCTGTACGTACAGGCAGTGTACCTGTTCGTGCAAAGTAAAGTGTCTGTTCAAGCAGTAAGAGTGTCTGTTCGTTTAGAGTTGTGCCTGCCTGAAAGTAAAGTCAATAGGCACAGTCCCAGTTCTGGTTTGGATCAAGGGGTCAGTCCAGATCCAGACTTTCAAGTCCAAATACAGGCCGAGAGGCCACTGCAGCAGTTGAACTTCATTGGGACTCTACTGGGACACATGCAATGCAGGGTCTGGGACAAAGGAAAGGCC